AAAGAAAGATAGTCAGCCATTGTGGACTGACCCCTCCTAAGTGCAATTGTTTTTATTTTGTATACTTCTTTTCTTTTAAATATGTATTAGAAGCTGAAAAAAAAGAAAAGTAACAAAAAGAGAAAGAAATAAAAGTGGGTTAAACTCCTACGAAAGAGAAAAAAAAAACAGGTACCAGAATCAATATGTATACAAACATGTGAATTGTCACCCATGATGGAGTTGTGTCACATGATCACCTAAAATCGGGTGATCACATGACTGAAGGGCAACTTTAGATCCTGAATTACTTAGCTGAAAGCTAGGTTCTCCAAAAATGAGATTCAGTTCAACCAAATTATTTTTGATACTGCTATAAACTGAATCTTCAATCAATTGACTTTTACTATTACCAGACCTACATGGCCAGTATAAAATCATATTGTTAAATATTAAAGAGCTTTGGATTGCACGACACAGTAGAACTATGGTAGAACATATCACTAGTCATTTTTTGCATGCTAGAATATTTAAGTTCTCCTCATCGCATGATTCTAGAACGCAATTTGACCAAGCCTACGTAGTGCAAAGAATGTAGGAAGGTCACTCCTGTGTGAACCCCTTCTAACGGTGCATTGTCACGCAAATCGAAAGCTCCTATTAACTAAAAACCAATTCGGTAGCAATACTAACCTCCGACTTTTGACCTCACAGAATCTGTACAGTGGCCAAGATGGCTGCCGTTTCCCATGTATTTCTTCTCGTTTCCATTTGCGTCATCGGTATCATGAGAACAAGGAAATTTTTTACTACCGCGCTCTCCTCGATGAGGCATTGGGCTGTTGTTGCCATGGTTTCGTTTGATTGACAACCTTGATATAAGCGTGTTTGTCCTAAAACTACATGACAAAAAGAAAAATAAAATCAGACGTCAAAGATCAGGTATGAATGATGTACCTAATATTTCAAATCCTTTTATCAAAAGCACTGTTTAGTAAAACAAAGCAACAAAACATGTCACTGAAAAGGTTGCAAGCACAGTGGATAAAAGCATTAGGCAGCTAGAGCTCACGCACTTAATATTAATTATAATATAAAATGTTATACATTCTTATGTCTCTTAATGAAATCTTTTTGCATTTCAAATGCATTCTCACCAAACAATTGATTGTCCAATATTAATTTTTTTAAATCACTAACCAAGCAGTATGAGTTACCATCACAACCTGATTCCTAAATGCTATATGGATGTGAGCTGACTGAATTAACTAGTACTTGTAGATTTATCCCAAGTTTTTAAAAAAAACAACAGAGGACAAAAACATGTCAAAGAAAATTAATTTGAATAATGAAAAAACAAAGCAGTAGTGAGCATTAGCGGTGAGTTACATTCAATCAGATATTTGTTATTGGTTAATTAATATGTGTCAAGGTTAGTAATAGTATATTTTTAAAAACATTTAACATTGATATTTGTGAGTATATTCATTCTTATTCTAGCTTTGTTTTCACAAACAGTTAGAATCGCAGAAAGGCAAAAAATTGTCTAATATCTTAAGTATGAGTCAAAGGGAAGTGACTTAATGGGATGAAAGAACATGAAAATTAAGCCCAAAGCCCTACATAAAAAAACATGATGTTCCAGCAAAAAAATCCAATGTACAGTGAAGGTTTAACATACCAACTTTTTATTTTAGGGTAGGTTGAAGGAGGGAATAACCACCAAGGTATTCAATAGTGGTTTTTAAAGGTTGGATACCCACTGAAAAGGTAAAACAGTTAAAGGTAGGAGAATAACGCATAACTCGCAGCTTTATTGCCCTGAATTGCGTATGGGCGAGGTCACTTGACTTGCCCGCCACTAAGGTATACTGGGAAAGGCTAATGCTGCATTCACATCGTATTTGAACCAAAATTTTGACCGTGTTTCTGATGTGCTTATGCCAGCATCTCTATTCTTACCTACTTACTCATTTTCTCATTAATTCGATAGGCTTTCGGATCTGAAAATTTGGATTCGGTGTGAATGCACCCAAGTCTTGTAATCTTCTCCATGTAATAGGCGCAGTGGCGGCGCCAGCGGGGTGGCAGGGGGGGGCTTAAGCCCCCCACCGGACAGGTCAAGCCCCCCATCAGAGAGCTCGTCGGACAGTCAGACCATAAAATATATAAAAATAGGCCAACACATGTCTGTCACAGTCTGAGAGTGCCATTTTCGGCCATCTAGAAGTTGATATTTTTAAAAAATATTTCATTTGGGAGGGGAAACCCCCTCTCAACCCCTTCTCCCAGCTCGAGCCTATGAGCTCAAGTCCCCCTGTCGGACAACTCACCACCCCCAGAAAATATATCCCTAGAGCCGCCACTGAATAGGCGGTAAAACATTTGGGTTGTTCAAACAAAGGACAATTAAATTATATATTTTTTAGGCAAACATTTCTTAAATTTTGCTATATAACAACTTTGTTTGCTATATGGCCTACTACAACCCCAAACCATTACAACTTTATGCTAGGTCACATACAACAATGACCTAGAAAAATGAACCTAATTCAAAGACAACATAAAGAGTCTGATCATTTGACAGAAACTGGTCTACTACACAAATGAAGGGTAATCAAATATTTTAGAGCTGTTCCCAAGAAGTGTAATTGGTTTATGATTTACTAAATGATGCTACACTTGACTGTAACTATCCCAAAAAGATGCAGATACATGTAAAACAATATACTCCATGTTTGCATTTATATGATTCTGCTGTATATGACATGAACAATAAATGAATATATGCAGTCATCGCCATCGCTGTTGTCGTAATAACTATTAGGCAAACATTTGCGCTGCCCTTGCAAGCCTAATCTACCCAAAATATCAGAAAGGAGCCCAAAATGCTTTTATGTCTTCAATTAATATACTGTACTTGATAATCATAAATTTTAGTCCTGTACTTCAAACACAACAATGGTTGACAATGAACCTTGAAATTAGGTCTAGTTCTATAGTTAAAATTAAATAAAATCGATCGATTGACATAAAACATCTTTATGTCATGGTTCTTGCACAACACAATATCTTTTTTGACCTTATTATCAATTATCATCACCATTTATTTTATTTTCGTTTTATCATTAAAATATTACTGTTCATTGTTATCTTCATTACTTTTTGTTTTTCATTCTCATCATTGAAATTTGATTATCATATTTGAGTTTTTAATAAATAAAGTTAAAAGTCTTGAGTCAAATTTCTCATCCACTATTGTCCAAGATTAATCAATTTAGAGTGATAAGCTATAACTGCACACCAAGGCATAAATCATGAAGGAGGTAAACATCAAAATAAGTATTTAAGCTTTAGGTTTACATATCAAGTAAGTGCACACGACTTCATCTTAAGAAACAGCACTTATGAATAATTCAAAAATATTTAATAAAAATAATATCGATTAATAATAAACCCCAAGGGATCATAATAGCAAGTAAATTGAAT